GGCCTTAATAAAACCGAAGTCCAGATGTGTTGGTTGGCTCCTACACCTATGTCAAGGAGAACTTGACGTCTGATATATTTATGGGCCTTCAGCACTTCTAAGCCAGAAAGCCAACATCCCAGACACAGTAATTTTCAACTAAGAACTTGAAAGCTCTAACAAACTGTGAATGATTAGTCAGGGTTATATTCAACATTTAGTCATTATTTCTAATGTTGTAAAAAGACATACTGCTTAACTAAATGATCTTATTCCACATAGAGTAGGAAAGTTTGGTGATTTTGATATATCACTAGGTTAGAAAAAACCCTTTTTACATAGACACACATACACGTTTTTGACCTTGTAACATTTAATTCTGGGAAGTCTATCTTAACGAAAACATCCTAAATATGGAGAAAAATTTTACGTAGAAAGATAGTCTTTTTTTTGTAGCCACAAATAAATGGAGATAGCCAGGTTGAGCATGGTGGCTTATGCCTGTAATCCCAGCACTTTGGGAGGCTGAGGCCAGGAGTTCAAGACTAGCCTGTGCAACATAGCAAGACCCTATCTCTACAAGAAAAATGAAAATTATCCAGGCATGATAGCATACACCTGTAGTCCCAGCTACTTATGTGGCTGAAGCAGGAAGATCACTTGAGCTCAGCAGTTCAAGGCTGCGGTGAGCTAGGATTGTACCACTGCACTATCCAGCCTGGGTGACACAGCAAGACGCTGTCTCTGAAAAGTAAAATAATAAAACAAAAGGAGATAGCCAGCAATAGGATAATAGAATATAATCCAGCTATTTAGAATGTTTCCATAATGGATGAAGAAGTCCATGCCTTATAACAAGTGTGAAAAATATATAGAATTATACACACACTGTGTTTGCAGCTATGTAAAAAATACATAGAAAAAGTCTAAAAGGGGCTGGTCACAGTGGCTCACACCTGTAATCCCAGCACTTTGGGAAGCTGAGGCAGGCGGATCACTTGAGGTCAGGAGTTTGAGACCAGCCTGGTCAACATGGTAAAAACCCATCTCTACTAAAAATACCAAAAATTAGCTGGGCATGGTGGTGCACACCTGTAATCCCAGCTACTCGGGAGCCTGAGGCACAAAAATGACTTGAAGCCGGGAGGTGGAGGTTGCAGTGAGCTGAGATTGTGAGACTCTGTCTCAAAAAAAAAAAAAAAAAAAAAAAAAAAAAGCCTAAAAGGAAATACCTGACATTTTAATTTGTTGCCTTGGGTAACATAAATGATTTTTTTTCTTACTTTGCCTTATTTTCTAATGAGTGTATATTAACTTTTTTTATCTTTGAAAATAAACTTTAGAAAGAAAGAAAACTATGCAATAAGATACTGTAAGTTATTCTAAGATGGTATTTTCTGTAAGTCATTTTGAAAGAATTATGCTTTTGAACTGTGGAAGAATTGTTTCTGCTTAAGTTTAGAAGTGAGCCAGAAGCAGCTGGGCATGGTGGCTCACGCCTGTAATCTCAGCCCTTTGGGAAGCCAAGGTGGGTGGATCACTTGAGGTCGGGAGATCAAGACCGTCGTGGCCAACATGGTGAAACCCTGTCTCTACTAAAAATACAAAAATTAGTTGGGCGTGGTGGCATGCACCTGTAGTCCCAGCTACTCGGAAGGCTGAGGCAGGAGAATCACTTGAACCTGGGAGGCGGAGGTTGCAGTGAGCTGAGATCACACCACTGCACTCCAGCCTAGTGACAGAGTGAGAATTCGTCTGTCTCCAAAAAAATAAAAATAAAAAGAAAGAAAGAAAGAAATGAGCCAGAAGCTTTATGAAACTGTTACTTGCCTCTGTTTGAGAACTGAAAGGACAAACATGAGTTAGTTTTTGATACTTTTGGAATACATGCGAGACCACACTATTCTCTATTGAAATGGTATCAGTTAAGCAATGATAAGTGTGCCCTTCATTTTAAATGCTTCTCTTTTATAAATAGAACCTGGTAGTGCAGCCTTTAAATGCAGGTGGTAAAGGTGTAAAATAGTTCTGTAAGTAACTTTCCATGTCTAAAAGTGTCTTAAATAGCTACTGTAACATTGATGGAGCCATTGAAATATATTTTATAAGTTAATAGTTACCTTAAGTTTTAAACTAGCTGTATCTGAACATGTATCTATATTAATCTTGAAATGCAAAAGAAAACTAAGCAATAAGATCAGTCAGAATGTATTATTTCATGTGTCTTAAAACACAGGGGAGACCAGCCTGTAGTTCCAGCAGTTAGAGAGGCCAAGGTGGAAGGATTGCTTGAGCTCAGGAGTTCAAGACCAGCCTGGATAACATAGTGAGACTTCATCTCTATAAACAAACAAACAGAAAACCACAGGGAGCTCTGTGAAACAGATATCCATATTTGAAGACTATTTATGAGAAATCGTTTTGATTGATTTCAATGTGATTATAGCTAGCTTAAATCCTAATTCTTTTTCCCTCCTAAGTTAAAAAATAAATGTAAAAATTTTAAAATAAAATAAAAAAAATCCGTCTGTGCAGATGCGTGATAATCACAGGGAGACCAAAGATGAAGAGAAACCTCTAATGCACCTTTAGCCTGTGATCTGACTTTAAATTCTATACATCTGCATTGACTAGGAGTTGTAAACTTTTGTTACTCTTGTCATAGATCCATGGTGGTCTATGAGTTTGGGATGTTGGACTCAATTTTTTCACAGATATATATTTGTAGTTTTTGATAATCCAAAGTTATAATCATCTGTAAACTTCATGACTAATAGTCGTTAACCTCATTTCTGATGAATACTTATGGTTACTACATGTTGACAGGTACTGCTTATGGTGTTGGTTTAGAGGACTTGGTATTTCAGATGTACCAAGACCAGACTCATAGGGATGTTTAGAGAATATATATAACAGCTTTAGGTTTCCTTGTCTGGGGTGGGTGTGTGTGCGTTTGTTGAGAGAGTACATACAGATAGATTTTTTTTTAAGTTTGGCAATTTGCTATAGAATACATTTATTTTAAATATAGAAAACATGAGATCCATCATATAGTGTGGCAACTCAGTTTATGTGTGGGATGCATAATTGAGAGATGTTATTTTGAGTCCCCTTTTTTGTGAGCTCTGCTGTGAACTGCAAACTGTATGCATGTATATAAAAGGTTAAGAGCCCGGGTAGCTGAGTGGGGTGCCATGCTGTTAGCAGACGACGAAGGCAGTATTACTCACCAGGTGCACGCTGTCAGCTCTGTAGAAGATTCCATCTTCATGGAGTCATCTCATGGTCCACTTTTTCTTGAAGCCAGGTAACATTTCCAATGGGTTGGTCTAGTTGGAATTTTTCCAACTTGAAAAACCTAAGCGTTTTCTTCTCTGACTTTTTTTTTAATGAAACACTGCCTGTTGGAAAAACTAACTTGCAAGCTGGAATGAATCTGTGATATCACTTTGCTTTGTAAGAAATAATTATGTGAGGAGTGATTTTTTTAAAAATAGAAACTGGTGAGGGTGAGAATTGGAGTGTTGTGTCTTGCTTTGTTGTGGTGTTAAGCATGGAGCACTCTAGCTTGTGTTGTAGACTTTTGTCCTGGGGATATACAGACTCTATTTTGTGATAACTAATCTGTTCACTTTGACTGTTACTGAGGTAAAGTAGTTTTGTGCAGTTTGAATTCTTGGCTCTTAAGTCTTTTGCATATGTCAGTACCTTGGTCTTTTAATGATATCTGACTTTTGCTTCAGATCTGTTTAACTTAGTTATAAAATAATCTAAACTAGACAGTCTCTCTAAGCTCTTAATTTTGTAAGTTTTCTTTTCTTTCTTTCTTTTTTTTTTGAGATGGAGTCTCACTCTGTCACCTAGGCTAGAGTGCAGTGGCATCATGTCGGCTCACTGCAGCCTCTGTCTCCTAGGTTCAAGCAATTTTCCTGCCTCAGCCTCCCAAGTAGCTGGGATTACAGGCACCCACCACCATGCCCGGCTAATTTTTATATTTTTAGTAGAGACAGGGCTTCACCATGTTGGCCAGGCCGGTCTCGAACTCCTGACCTCAGGTGATCCACCTGTCTTGGCCTCCCAGAGTGCTGGGATTACAGGCATGAGCCACTGCACCCGGCCAATTTTTTAAGTTTTCTACATCATCTCAATTGTGTTCACTTAGTAACTAAGACTTCAGCGACATTTAAATAAAATGTTCTGACCTTTTCTTTAGAGCTTTATCCTCTTCATGGTAAGCTGTCATACTTGAGACTCTTGAGGGTACTTACTAAGCATGCTCACAACTCAGTTTGTGGTACAGGCTGTCCCTTGTCATGCATACTATGGCTTCCTTTATGTCATTGCCTTTCAATCCATCACGTTACATTATGTCCGTTAGTTGGTACCATTATCACTGCCTGTCTAACACCAGGGATTGTTTTTTTTTTCTCTTTAATTAGCAGTAACCAAATTAATGCAAACTGATAAATCTTCCCCTCCTCCTTTCGGTTTTTTGGGGTGGTGTTTTTTGTAAATTTTTATGAGGCTCAGTGTTTCCAAAGTTGACTTTAATCATTTCTCTTAGAAAAGTATTGTCACTTGTCACTTAACTGCTTACAAAATAGCTTTCAGTTCCTGGGGATAGGAGATTGCACATTATTTAACCATTAATATGATCCTCAAAATTGTGGGAACACCACCTTAATTTTAATTTTGAAGGACCATGATGGTATTATAAAATGCTAGATTGATTTGTCTAACTTCTTTATTTCCCGTGTGAAAAAAACGTTTACAAATTTGGATGTCTACTCCCACAAAGTAGCTAATTGTCTTTATTAGTGTCTACATTATGTCATTGTCTTAAAGTAATGATTAAGTAATTATATACATGGCTATATTGATCAATGTTTTTGATAAACATTACTGTATGCAATTAGCTTGACAAGTGTACTAATACTTACCTAAAAGTAGACTGCTAAATAACTGGTATAGGTTTTCATACTAATCATGTTTTAAGTAATAATTATATTTTCTGACTACAGGCACGTGACACAAGCTGACCTCAAGAGCTCCACGTTTTGGCTTCGAGCAAGTTTTGGTGCTACTGTTTTTGCAGTTTTGGGCTTTGCTATGTACAAAGCATTACTGAAACAGCGATGATATAAAAAGAAATACTGGCCCTACCAAAAACAAATACTTTTATGTACATTCTGAATGCTTTAAGTTCTGCTAGAAATATTGAGATATTTATACATGCAGAGTTACTTTATTAATATTTGTAATTCATGCATAAGAGTATTTTAATGATAGTTATAACTGCAGTATTGGCTAGCGTATGGAAAGAAAACAGCTAACAGCCAAACTAAAATGGCTAAATTCCAGAGGCCAAAAGGGAATATTTTGTAAATATATGTACATATTCAGGTAAGATATGGTCTCCCAAGCTGAGTTCTAGAAATGGTGTTTCTAGACATTTCTAAATGGTATTGTTAGTGCTCACTTGGCTCACTCTCCTAGGTTTAAGTTAGCCCAGAGATTGTATTTACTCTTGGAACACTTTATTTATTTCACATTTACTCAGAATGATCCTTTGGGTTCTATAAGGACATGAGGCACAATTTGCCATTCTCTCTCCGTTTTTAAAAACATAAGCAGTGTCAGCTTACCAACATGACTTTTTTTCAGTCAGTTGTGGTAGGCCAGCCTTGAAGCCATCGCAGTCTAGAAAATTGTGTAGCTGAGTGTGCAGCTCACCTTTAAAGGTGAAGTAAGGTAAAAGCAATTAGCAGAGACGTTATCTATGTGATTATGTTGCTTCTTTTGTCAGTATGTTGAATTTTATAGCCCTTTCAATGAAATGAAAAAAAAAAAAAACAATTTGTATATTACCAATGTTTTTGGTTTAAATAAAGAGTCACCCTTACTACTGTTGAATTTCCTCCCAAGTGTAAATCATTCTATAATGGCTGTGTCTATTATAGTCTATTACAGTAACTGCATGTGTCACCAAGTGTTCTATATCAGGCTAGGATAACCTAGAGGCAGTAATTTTTTAAATGATAAATCTAATGAATATAAACTCTCATGATAAACCTATTTTTTCCATCATCCGCCTTTTCAAGTATTTAAATAAATAACTGCTGTGTACTGTGATCTTGAGTTCTTTTGTCTTCTGAAGTATTTCTGTACAGATGTGAGTGAAGTCCTCTGGTTTCTGTCTCTCATATTGAGAATTGTTTATGTAAAAGGAATACTCAGTAGGGAGTGGTGGCTCAGTCGTGTAATCCCGGCACTTTGGGAGGCCGAGGTGGGTGGATCACCTGAGATCAGGAGTTTGAGACTAGCCTGACCAACATGGTGAAAACCTGTCTCTACTAAATACAAAAAATTAGCTGGGCATGGTGGCACATGCCTGTAATCCCAGCTACTTGGGAGGCTGAGGCAGGAGATCGTTTGAACCTGGGAGGTGTAGATTACAGTGAGCTGAGATCGCACCATTGCACTCCAGCCTGGGCAACAAGAATGAAACTACATCTCAAAAAAAAAAAAAAAAAAAAAAGGCTGAGTCAGTTGTGATGCCTCACGCCTGTAATCCCAGCACTTTGGGAGGCTGAGGCAGGCAGATCACTTGAGGTCAGGAGTTCAAGACCAGCCTGGCCAACACGGCAAAAACCCGTCTCCATTAAAAATACAAGAAATTAGCCAGGTGTGGTGGCGCATGCCTGTAATCTCAGCTACTCAGGAGGCTGAGGCAGGAGAATTTCTTGAATCCAGGAGGCAGAGGTTGCAGTCAACCGAGATCATACCACTACACTCCACCTGGGCAACAGAGCAAGACTTCATCTCAAAAAAAAAAAAAAAAAATCATTAGGAAAACAGTCAAGTACGATGTATACATGTAAGAGGATATTTATTTAAAAGTTGTAGAGAAGTTATTCTGGTAAAAGGCCAATTGTTTTCCCCTTCACATAGCTAATTAATGTGGTTTCTACTATTGTTTGCATGTTTATTTTCTCCTTTTTTTTTTTTTTTTTTTTTTGAGATGGAGTCTCGCTCTGTCGCCCAGGCTGGAGTGCAGTGGTACCATCTCGGCTCACTGCAAGCTCCGCCTCCCGGGTTCCCGCCATTCACCTGCCTCAGCCTCCCGAGTAGCTGGGACTACAGGCGCCCGCCACCTCACCCGGCTAGTTTTTTGTATTTTTTAGTAGAGACGGGGTTTCACCGTGTTAGCCAGGATGGTCTCGATCTCCTGACCTCGTGATCCACCCGTCTCGGCCTCCCAAAGTGCTGGGATTACAGGCGTGAGCCACCGCGCCGGGCCTATTTTCTCCTTTAACATGATTTTTCCCCTTTGCCGTTCTAAGGGACATTTTCTTACAAGATCACACCTCTTGAGCAACTAGTAACAGTATCACTTACTAGCTTGCAAAATAACATAGACACTTCATTTTTTATTTTTATTTATTTATTTTTTTAATAAGACAAGGTCTCACTCTGTTGCTCAGGCTGGAGTGCAGTGGCAGGATCATAGCTCACCGCATCCTTGAACTCCTGGGCTCAAGCAGTCCTCCCATCTCAGCCTCCCAAAGTACTGGGATTACAGGTGTGAGCCCCCACACCTGGCCTGACTCCTCATTTTTATTATTTTCAGAGAATTTCCCACTTACCAAATTTATGTCAGTTGTATAGTTTGCAATGACAGTTAATTTTTTCCAAGCTCTTTTCTAGTTTGTCTGAAATACTGCTTTAAATGCTTTATAGGTTGTTGCGTTTGTGAGAAGCAGAGGAAAGAAGCTAGCTTACCAAGAGTTAATGAGTGGTGTGTTTATATATTTAGATACTCTCTCTCCATCTTTTCATTTGGGGAACTTACATTTCTTTGGTTCAAAAGAAGGGAGGGAGCAGCTGCCCTATCTTGCACTTGCTCTGGACACACTCCCTTGCTAAGCTAGCCCCTTTCCTCGCTTGTCAATCACTCCAGGTGGGGTGGATTAGTAGAGGGAATGCTCACTGTTTTCTCATCTTTAACCTACAGGCACATAGCGGTTTTTTCTTTCTTTTTGAGACAGAGTCTTGCTCTGTTGCCAGGGCTGGAATGCAGGAGCGTAATCACAGCTCACTGCAACCTTGACGTTGTGTGCTCAAGTGATCCACCCTCCTCAGCCTCCAAGTAGCTGGGACTGCAGACATGTGCCACCACACCTGGCAAATTAAAAAAAAATACTTTTAGTAGAGATGAGGTCTCACTCTGTTGCACAGGCTGGTCTCAAACTCCAGAGCTCAAGTGATCCTTCTGCCTCAGCCTCCCAAAGTGCTGGGATTATAGGTATGAGCCACCAGAGCTGGCCTATTTTTCTTCATTTTGCATCTACTTTAGAGACTAGTGAATGTGAGAAAATAATGTGAACACAAGAAAAGGCTTCTTCTGGCTTTTACAGTTTGCTCAGGAGATGCAAGCTTTAAGAATACTAAGGAGAAATGAAGAAAATAGGAACTTGAGAGTCGAAAGGAGATCTTTCACTTTACACCAGTTGCATTGTTTTTTTTTTTCTTCCTGAGACAGAGTCTTGCTCTGTTACCCAGGCTAGAGTGCAGTGGCACAATCATGGCTCACGGCAACCTCAGCCTCCCTAGTAGCTGGGACTACAGGCGCCCACCACCATGCCCGGCTAATTTGTTTGTTTGTTTGTTTGAGACAGTCTTGCTCTGTTACCCATAGGCAGGGGTGCAGTGGCACAATCTTGGCTCCCTGAAACCTCCGCCTCCCAGGTTCCAGCAGTTCTCCTGCCTCAGCCACCCGAGGAGCTGGGATTACAGGCACGCACCACTATACCTGGCGAATTTTTGTATCTTTAGTAGAGACGGGGTTTTGCCATGTTGGCTAGGCTGGTCTTGAACTCCTGACTTCAGATGATCCACCCACTTCGGCCTCCCAAAGTGCTGGGATTACAGGTGTGAGCCACCGTGCCTGGCTAATTTTTTTTTTTTAATTTTTAGTAGAGACGGAGTTTCACCATGTTGGCCAGGCTGGTCTCAAACTCCTGACCTCAAGTGATCTGCCTGCCTCAGCTTCCCAAAGCATTGTCTTTTATTTTTTATTATTTTTCAACATCTAAGTCTATTAAGGTGAGCTTGTACAAACAAGCATCTATCCCAGTGTGGGGGTGAGGATGGGAGAGGAGAGTGGGGCAGTAGGAAGAAGAGCATTCTCATTTTTTGATAATAAAGCTCCAGGTTCATCCCATCGTGGATTTCTTAGTCCCCCAGAGACACATCGTCCTTAAAAATCGTGTATCACTTCTTCAGGACAATCTTGTTCCAACGGGTGCCAGTTTAGGCTGCAATCGGTTTCCTTTTTTTTTTTTTTTTTTTTTTTTTGGAGACAGAGTCTCGCCTTGTTGCCCAGGCTGGAGTGCAGTGGTGCAATCTGGGCTCACTGCAAGCTCCACCTCCTGGGTTCATGCCATTCTCCTGCCTCAGCCTCCCAGTGGCTGGGATTACAGGCGCTCGCCACCACGCCTGGCTAATTTTTTGTATTTTTAGTAGAGATGGGGTTTCACCGTGTTAGCCAGGATGGTCTCGATCTCCTGACCTCGTGATCCACCCACCTCGGCCTCCCAAAGTGCTGGAATAACAGGCGTGAGCCACCACGCCCGGCCTGCAATCGGTTTCTTAAGGTCCCCAGTGGTATCATCCGTGTTGCATTTAGCATGGACCTTCTTCCCCAGATGGTCGTTGCAAACAACCTCCATCGTCCTAGCTGGAGCTCGAACCTGTCGACACCACTAGCTCCTCAGCATTGTCTTTCGAATGGACAATTCGAGGCCGTTTACTACAGTGTCTTAATGAATAATAAGGCAGTTGTGTGAAGAAACATTGCTTTGAAGGTGTGTAGTCCTAGCATAATGTAGTAACTTAGCCTTATTTAGTATATCAGGCGTCTGTTGCTTCTTGCTATTCATGTCTTTCTCTTTCACATTTGACCAAAAAATGAGCAATTTCCCGCATTGTTGGCACTAATAATGCTACGGTAGGAGTGGGCACTGATGTTAGGAATTTGGGGAGCACATGACCATTCTGAAATGGCCTATGAAAGTGGTAGGACTTTGGGTATCAGTGCATATATGCACATCACCTGCCAGGGAAAGGCATCAAAGAAGAAATATACTGATGAGGCCGAGCACAGTGGCTCATGCCTGTAATCCCAGCACTTTGGGAGGCCAAGGCGGGCAGATCATTTGAGATCAGGAGTTTCAGACCAGCCTGACCAACATGGTGAAACACTGTCTCTAATTAAAAAAAAACACAGAAACAAAAAAACACCCGGGTGTGGTAGCACATGCCTGTAATCTCAGCAACCCAGCGGGCTGAGGCAGGAGAATCGCTTGAACTCAGGAGGTGGAGGTTGCAGTGAGCTGAGATCACGCCACAGCTCTTCAGCCTGGGCAACAGAGCGAGACCTCATCTCAAAAAAACAAAGAAAAAAAGAACTATACTGATGAGCCAGTCTTGAATGAAATGAGAACTTTCCCAATCTGTGAAGGCAGCTGAATAATGAAGAGAGGGAAACAGAGGTAAGTGCCTGACCTCTGTGGTAGAGCATAAATCTTTCCTAAACAGGCCCTCAAAATGCAACTTGGGTTGGCTTTTTTTTTTTTTTTTTTGGCCCATCATTGGCTGTTAGGTTAGCTTTCATGTCCCTTTTGTCTGAATTGCACCAGTAAAAGTCAATACAAAGATGCCTTTAAAATATATGTGCAAATCCTAAAAATAAGTATGTGATCTAGTTCCATTAACATGTTTGACTTCATACTTTAATACTTCTTATTTTTTATTTGTTTTTTTAACCAACATACCAGATTCCTGAATCATACTTTCACAGTCCACGTGTTTTTAGGAAACTGATTTGAGACTAGGTACTTTTTGAGAAATACCACATGTCAAGATGCTAAATTTAATGTTCACAGTATGAGAATGATCCATGCAGGCAGCTTGACCTCTCCAATGCCTTTATCACCAGATTCACAGTCCAATAACACACTTATTTAAACCCCTAAGGTTACCAGTAATTCGTGTCTTTGTAACTCTTTTTATCAAAAGTCGCTGTCAGTGAAAGCAAGTGTCTGTTAGTTAACCTGCTTGGCCCTCAGCTC